CATACATAAGCTGTATGTGTACATAAGACCTTACCAATACTATGAAACAGCAGGGGGATGCTAGCCCCGTGCTGTCCCGTCCAGTAGCCAACCCACATGCGGCTCTTGATCACTTGAAACGTGGCTAGTCTGATTTGAGATGTGCAGTAAGTTTAAAATATACACCAGCACACAAAGAAATGTAAAGTATCTCATTATTTTATATCGATTACATGCTGAAATGAGAATATTCTGGCTATACAAAGTTAAATACATTATTAAAATTAATTTCCCTCTTTTTTTACTTTTCTAATGTGGCCACTAGAAAATTTAAAAATTATGTGGCTCTATCTGTGAAACTCACCTCTGTTATCTTCTACAGATGGCTACTCATGGCTTTAACCTGGCAGAAGAAGTTTTAATGAAAATGAATGCTTAAGATAGACAACTAGAAGTGTAACTAGGGCCCTCATTAATTATGTGCTAATTTATTTGACAGCAGTTAACATACAATGAAGACATTCATGAATCAATTTATGCTTGCATATATCTATTCACTAAGATATATCTAGTAGCTAAATGTTGGGTTTTACTTCATATGTAATACTGACTCTAAGCCAGTCTCTTTCTTGCTCTCTTCACACACACACACACACACACAAACACACACACGCACACAAAAACTACTTCCTACAGGGATTAAGAAAACCAAAGAGGAAACAAACAGGAAGTTCTTGCAAACTGTTTTCACAGTCTGCGGCAGTCAAGCCTCGTGCATCTTTTCTCCCTCTGTCCCTTGATATTGTGCAGAGAGGAGAAAGGCAAGAAAAGAAAGGACAGTCTGCTCTTTTAATCCTACTACCCACCAAACCCCGACCCCCCAAAGAACAGAGATATGGATGATTTGGTTTTCATTTTAAATAATTTTTCAAATTCAGTTCAGAGGGGTAAGTAACAGGTACACAAAGTCAAAAGAAAATGCAGGAAGTTCTGCAGATAAGGGACTTATTTGTGGAAAAGTCTAGGTGGAAATGACAAAGTTCAATACTTTAAGAAAATAAAAACATATTTTTTTTAAACCCTAAAGACATCATCCATCAGGCCTCAATTCATTAGCACTTTCAATTAAAGAAACAAGGAGAGATAGGACACCCTCAGTATGAGATTTATGATAATGCAGGAGGCCCAGATATTTAACGTAGAATCAAGTGTTTTTTTTTTTTTCTTCCCACAACAGTACAAAGAAAGTGACTGGGTTTCTTTATGGAGGAGAAGCAGGACAAACGCAGCCGCCATTCTATTCTCATGCACAGCCACACTGACTGCAGAATGGGCCCAGCTCCAGCTGCTGCTGACCTTGAGTTCAGCCCTTCTGTCCAGAGGTGAGTCCAGCCTTCTTGAGCCTGGAGCTCTTAGCTACGAACTGACATGGATGGAAGAGATAAGACCTGCCATCCCAGGCGAAAGGAGAGTCACATGGTTAAGCAGACACAGGAAGAAAACATATCAGAATGTACTATTTCAAGAGAAGAAGACAGACAAGAAGTTGCTGAAGTAGGGGGAGGGAGGCGGAATTAGAGGTCCCAGGAAGCAATAAAACACATGAGTAAGATGACTGGTTCTTTTATTTTTGAGGAAGATTAGCCCTGAGCTAATATCCACCACCAATCCTCCTCTTTTTGCTGAGGAAGATTGGCCCTGAGCTAACATCCATGCCCATCTTCCTCTATTTTTTTATATGGGATGCCACCATAGCGTGGCTTGATAAGCAGTGCTTAGGTCTGTGCCTGGGATCTGAAAGGGCCACCAAAGTGGAGCATGCAAATTATCCACTACGCCACCGGGTTTAGCAGAATTAAACATGCATCCACAACTCACACTGAGATGCTGAGCTGCAGCAAGCTTTCCCCCACTCACCCCTTTGCCTCCCTTCTCATTTGGTTTCCTTGCCAAGTTTATGCCAAGATCACATGGCCTTGGCGAATCTGAGGCTGAGTCATTTAGCCATTAATTTGGGACAGTGTTGAATAAATACCCAGGTTCCCAAAGGAAGGCTTTATATGCAATTGAGAGTATATTTCTATTGCTATATGTCATGCAATTCTGAGGCCTGAATTAAAGTGCAGACTAAACTCAACCAAAACTACTTTATTTCCCGGTTCATTTTTGCTCTGCAGACCTAGCCTACCAGCTCCTTTTCTCATTATTGGCACTGTAATCTTTTGTTTCCAGCAAGCAAAATAAATATTTGCATTAAAAGGAGCTCCCAAGCTAAACTAGTGTATTCCTATGTACTAAGCCCCAGTGAATCAGACCCTTCTGAGGCTCAAATGCTATAGTCAGGATTGCTTCTAGAATATAAAACACAAACACTTGGCTTTTATCCAGCAAGTGATCCAGACCCCCAAGCACTGCACTCACGTGTGGAGATTCCATTTGGCTGAAACGCTTATTTGAAGTCATCATTGAGCATGATTTTCTATGCACATAGTAGGTACTTAAAATATAGTTTCTTTTTAAATATATAAAGGACCTGCATATTACATATCTCTCTTATATCCATTTTATCATTGATAACCCTCATGACAACCCTGTGAGGTGGAGAGCATGATGATGATGACGATGATTAGAGTAGCCCATGGAAGTGGCAGAGCAAGGCTTTAAGATTTCCAACACAGAGCTCTTTGTGTTACATAGGTTTTTCCTTTTAATCATGTATTTCCTTAACATGGTTATAAATCACAAACTTATATTTGTTGCACTGAAATTACTGAGATTTGCTCTCTACAGAAATTGCAACAGCTCGAGTACTACCTTGATTAAAACCTTAGTGTGTCAAAGAAAGTTAAAGATATAAATTACCATGGAAGAGTTCCAATTTAGCATAGACCAAGAAAATGACTGCTTCTTGAGTTATCAGAAAGTGAACAGTATTAACAGTGCAGTGAGTTACCTGCAGAAGCACAGGGAAATATATGCTGTCAAACCTCTGTTCTCAGTTATCAAGTTACAAATGAAACAAAAAAGTAGAAACTGATGACTGAAATGGGATTGGGAGAAATGAAGATAAATAATATTTTGGGTTATGTGTGGAAGAGAAGATATGTAATTGTGTTAACGAAACAAAATACAGAGTTTTAATATTTTCCAAAACTTCCTGTTCTCAAAGCATAATGCAGTCTCCTCATTGTTGAGAGATTCTTTCAATCTATCCTCAAATATTTCCACTGTTACCTTCAGGGTTTATAATTGTTCATGCCACATATAGTAAATAACATTAAAGCTATACTAGTGGTGATGAAAAATGCTCCTGTGGCCTTCAAGAGACAACATGCACTATTCAAAAAAGAATGTTACTACATAGAAGGTAAGCAGTTGGTTAATTAAATAAGAAGTGACATGCCACACCTTTCTATAGCAGCACTCAGGGTCTTTTTCCCTCTTCTTGGGAAAAGAAGATAGAAGAGGACCATCCCAAACCTGTAATTCTACTCTTTCAGGAAAATGAAAACTTTCAACATGTTTAAGTGCTAAACAAGCTTACCTTTGTTTCTAATTTACCGAGGTGTCAATTCATAAAGACACACCCAAACACGGCCTTTGCTTGGATTTGACACACAAAAGGGTTGCCTTTCTACAATGGTCAGCACAACAACATCATAGTTGCCCTACCGAACCTTAAAAGGGCGGGTGAGCAGGAATGAGTCCATTTTTTCTGAAGTTCTAGAAATGAAACTGATATGTTGAGCTAGATTATCACTTCTCAGTGCTTTAGGTTTTAGGTCTCAGGGATGAATGGTGGAAGGGTCAGCAAACAGAAACAGAAGGTAACTTCCAGGGGTATTTTGTTCACTGCTGTATCCCCAGATGCTAGTCTAGAATACTGAATGAGTATACTTGTGAAGTGAAGCCCTGGGTTTGAATCCTCATTCTGCTCCTTCCTAGCTGTGAGATTTTGGATCAGTTACCTAAATCACCTCGAAGGTTGCTGGACGAGGAGAAAAGCATGTGTTCCATAAAGTCCTGTATACTGGATGCTTATTACCATCAGCCTACAGGGGTCAAATGAAATGAATTTAAAACCAGATGGTGAAAAGCAGGTACCACTATCATTCCAAAAGGAGACTACTTTGCAGAAGGCATTTTGCCTTCAGGCTTTCTGAGAGGTCCTTGACTATTCATGAAAGAACTTCTAGAACCCAACTTTGGGAGTCATCCAAAATCTGCTATTTATGTGGTATTGCTCCAACCAGAGTATTTTCAAAGATGAACAACTGAGGCCAATTTTATATATTTATATCCAAGGATGTGAAAATGAAACAGTAAGCTAAAAAGGTGCATGATTTTCAAAACCATTTTGTCCTCGTTTGTTTTGATGACTCCAAACATAAACAGAGTCATTAAATACACAAAGGCGGTTCTGATCTTTCTTCAGCCACAGATCCTTTGAGAATCTTATGAATGCTAGAGATCCTCTTCTCAGAAAAATGAGCATGCACACACACACACAAGCACATGGGCACGCACACATACATGCCAACACAACACACACACATACAACAACACACACACACAAATATTTTTAGGCAATAGAGTATTCCACAACTTTTTCCGAAGTTCATCTCTGAATCAAGAAGTTAGGAACTACTGAACTAAATAAGTGCTGGGGTTCACATGGGGACAGATGTAGAATACACATATATAGTTTACATCTATCGCATATATCCAAATATTTAGCAAGTATTTAAATAATTGTTAAATTTTATACAGTATGCAATTTCCTCCTCACTCTAGTATATGAAATTGCCAGTGGCCAAATTCTAGGAAAAGAGTAAACTCATGTTCTGAGTATTAAAGTGACAAACACTCCTACAGTGTTCTGCAACTCACTATTTACTTGAAGTAGTTTTACAACTTCTATGTGTTTACAGCAGGGTTGAATTTAATATGACACCTTGGCTCAGTGGGTATTGTAGACAATTTCTAGTGGAGCCTGTGTCTTGGAAGGTAAGGTGATCAGCCAGGGAATTCACTCATCTTTTAATCTAATAGTATAAAATTCAGCAATGTTCTTTTCACAATCACTAGCCTCTTTCTCGGCCAGTGTCTGCCTGCCCCAGGGAACACAGTATTCCATCAAAGGCAGAAATGACACAGCTTTGTAGTGGTTACCCTGACCTTTGAGATGAGTGATTTTTTACCACGAGTATATTTTACAGCTCAGCTAATAGCTTCATAGGGATTACATAGGCGCTTTAAAAATTACTAACAATAGACTATACACAGCTCACGCTTCAAATTGAGAAAAACACTTGACAGCAACATTTGCTACAGTATTTCCTAGCCTACAAATTTCACTACTTAATTGAGTTTTAGGAAAGAAAAAGGAACCAGTAAAAGAGATGCTCTAAGGCCTAAGGAAACTTCAAATTTCAGGGTTTAAACTAAGTTATGATATGATTTCTTTAAAGTGCCCAGGGTAATGATAAAAAATAGAGATTCATATGCAAATTTATCCATTCAGTAAAAATCATGAATTTCAATAAGTAAAGCCATAGGACAACCAAGAGTTCCCTTTTTGTCCTTCAGCAACCTGACACTTCATTCTTCCTAGCAGTTTTCAGCTGAGCAATTACTTTAGTTTTTGAGTTTTTATTTCTGAATTTAGGGGTGGAGGGCACCCACAAATGGTCAGATTCTCTTTCCAATTGCAAAGGTATTGGCATTTTATTGCCATAGTCCACATTTCAGTTTTGTTTTCTATGCCATAACTGAAAAACAGATCATTTCTCTTTCCCTTTTTCCTCTGGTCTCTGGTTTCACGTCTATTCCGTGAAATATTAAATCTCTGCGGTTTTTAGAATAGAAGAGTTGTGGTATCTTTATTTTGAGGTTCTCAGACTGTTCTCCCTTAAGTCTGGTATCATGTTACCTTCACCTGCCTTCTCCCTTCCTTCATTCCTTCTGGAGGCAATGTTAAGGCTCCTGGTTGTGATACCATTGAATGTGGCTTATGTGGAAACTGCCTTGAGTAGGCTCAGGAAATCTCAAGGAACTTCTGCAGGGCCACAGTGGGAGATTAAGCCTTCTAAACAAAGACGCTGAAGAGAGGGAACTCAGCTTGATTGGGTTGCAGCAGATCGATCAGAAAGCACACCGTCCCGGAGAAGCCTTCATACAAGCTGTATATACTTTCAAGGACCCGAGAACCAGCCTTGAATTCCTCGGTAAACAAAAATTCAGCAAACCTAAGAGAAGAAGAAGAAAATATGAACAGTTTTAACTTGAGTGTTTCCATATTATTGGCCTTGGGTTGCTGCTTCTTCCTCTCTGCTAAGTTAAAGTTTTAGCATCATTTTCTTTCCAGAATTGTATAATATTTTAAGAAAGCCTTTTTCCCCTGTTAAAAAAAAGAGAAGCCATTATGTAATTGTGTATGTTTCACAACAAATTATGTTGGCAAGCAGATTCAGCTATTTTCAACATTTGCAAAGCAGTTTGGTATTTTCTGAGGATTTCATTCCTTCAGTCATCCAATAATTAAAAGTAAAAAAGACAGATAAATAGCCATCTTTTTATTTATCTTGACTAGAAGAAAGCTGATATATGACTTTTCCTTTAAAAGAGTAAATATGCTGTTTCTCTGCAGGCATATTATTCCTGAGCCAGGTTTCATTTATATGTGACAGAGAGCAGAGACTGTGAAAATAAATGGGCAAGATTTTATACAATCTGTGCTTTGGGCAAACAAAGGAATAAGATGAATGGGAAAAGGCAAGCAACATTTTATAATCATGACATCAAATAGCAAACTCAGCTACAAGATAGATTATTTTTAGGACATCTGCCTTAAAAATAAATCACTGGCCTCTAAATTCTCTATGAAAGATCTTTTTTTCTTTTACCTGTATTTGCTACAAATCCTACTCAAATTATTTATAATGAGGAACATTTTTAGTAGTTTACAGCTTTTAAAGTGCTGTCACCTATGTCATCTCTTTACTGATCTGTTCTACTCATTCCCATCAACAAAAATAATCACCAATTCAAAGGCTGGAGCTCACAGGTTTGTTAAGGCCTGAGAGATGATACTGTCATAAATTCAGATTATTGCTACTACAGTCATGTGTTGCTTAATGACGAGGACACGTTATGAGAAATGTGTCATTAGGCCATTTCGTCATTGTGGAAACATCACAGAGTGTACTTACACAAACCTACATGGTATAGCCGACTACACACCTAGGCTCTATGCTCCTAATCTTATGGGACCACCGTTGTACATGCAATCTGTCGTTGACCGAAACGTCGTTATGTAGCATGTGACTGTATATGGGCGTCCCATGAAGAATAATTACTTATTTGATCTTTTTAGGGCTTTTGGAATTATTGACAGCAGCTTAAAATAAATCAGCAGGAAACATACTACAATTCTGTTTGGTACCATTTTTCTATCATCTGTTTTCCTGAATATGCAACAATTTTTAAATAGAATTCAAAATTTTAAACAGTAGAACAATGATGCACCTTAAGAGTTAATTCAAAATCTGTAATTATACAGTGAAACTTCATGGTATAGCTTCAAGGAGTCTTATCCTTTTTAGTGCTATGGATCATTTGGCAGTCTGGACTTCTTGGGAAAAAATCTTCAAATGTATAAAACAAAATACACAGGATTTGCAAGAAAATTAATTATACTAAAGCACAACTAGCAAAAATTTTAAAACCAAATTTATGAAATAGTAATATATGTATTCTTTATTAATACATAAAATAACAAGATCTAGTAGTGGATCTAATAACTGCTGACATTTCTAAGTAGTAATGGGAGTAAAATACATTTCACAATATCTGCAACAAGAGTAATATGATACGAGAATACCTATGACTTCTATTGGTGACAGAGTCACAGCTACTGCTAATTCTCCTGTGGCTTATTACCTACACTCAGAATTGAAGGAAATGCTACATTTCAGTTTGAGATGTAACACTTTTCTCAAGTAAATTTACTAACCCTAGGTTAAGAAGCCTTGGTGTAGTAGAAAGAGGAAGGGCTTTGAAGTTACAATACCCAACTCTGATAATTTCATGTTATATGACCTTTGACAAATTTCTTAATCTGACTTTAAAATGGTGAAGTTGCAGAATTGCACAAGATTATCTGTAAAGATTAAAGATAACACACATTAGGCTCTGAGCATACAGCAAGCATTCGATACACGGTAAATATCATTTTTTCGCATTAACATATTATACAAGAATATTTGTAAAACAGAGACAATCATTCCACTATACTTTAGAAGAAATCCACAGTTAATTTTGCTCTCTTCTTCCAACCTTTTTTTCCTAAGCCTCGATTTACTTATTACATTATTGAAATTATAGTTTGTATAATATTTAGTATCCTACTTTTTTTTACTTAAAAATAATCTGATAAACATTTTTTTGTGCTTTTAAAATAATTTCTAAATGATATATGGCAATTTACAAGAGTACCAGCAACATACGAGAGTAGCAATTTCTTTTTTTTTTTTTTTAACAACTGTTGCCGATCTTTTTTTTCTGCTTTATTTCCCCAAATCCCCCCTGGTACATAGTTGTATATCTTAGTTGCAGGTCCTTCTAGTTGTGGATGAGAGTAGCAGTTTCATTGTATTCTAACCTGTACAGTATGTTATCAAATTAAAGTGAAAATTGTCTAAAATCTACCCAATCGTGTAAAATTCAAATTAACAAATTCATTTTTCTAAAAAATTCTGTCAAATTAGAAGTCAGAATGCTAATTATAGAACTAAGAAGAATTACAGACACTGAGAACATTACATATCAAAACCTATTGATTATGATCAATACTGAATTCAGAGGAAAATTCATTGATCTGAGTTTTTATTATTATTATTTTTATTAGAAAGATGGAAAATATTTTTTTTTGAGGAAGATTAGCCCTGAGCTAACTGCTGCCAATCCTCCTTTTTTTGCTGAGGAAGACTGGCCCTGAGCTAACATCCATGCCCATCTTCCTCTACTTTATGTGTGGGATGCCTACCACAGCATGGCTTGCGAGGTGGTGCCATGTCTGCACCCGGGATCCGAACCGATGAACCCCAGGACACCGAAGCGGAACGTGTGCACTTAACCGCTGCGCCACTGGGCTGGCCCCGAAAGATGGAAAGTATTCTAATTAAGCATTTTAAAAAACTGTAGAAAATAACAAAAGAAACACTGGAAAATCAAAATAAAGGCAGAAAAATAATGAATTAGGAAGCAAAAGAGAAAAACAAAAAGAATTAATAAACAAAACCAAAAGCCAGTTCCTTGAAAGAATGAACAACATAGACAAAATGCTGGTGTGTCTGACCAAAAAGAAAAAGCATTAGGAATGCAGAAGGGCATATAAGCACAGACATGGGAAATTTAAAATTCAGAATTATACTGTTAGAGCTTCATATCAAACATTTGAAAATCCATATGAACTACATGATTTTACAGGAATATATTCACTACCAAAATTAATTCAAGAAGAGGTAGAAAATCTGAATAATTAAATAATCATAGAAGAAACTGAAAAGATTGGCAAATATTTTTCTGCAACCATAAATTCCAATTGTATGTTAAAAGAGTAATAGGCAATGACCAAGTAATGTTTATTCCAGGAAGGTACATATTGTTTGACATTATTGTTTTAGGAACTGCCAAAATTAGGGAAGTCTCCCCAATTTGGGCCATAACATATTTAACTTTGAATTATAATGAAGTGGAAATTTCAGTACTCTAAGCAACTAAATGCAATGCTCAAACAATATTCAGATGTTACCTGCATATTCTCGTTAGCACTGCCTAAATAGCTAAGATAAATACAGCCAATGGTTCATGTAGATTAGCATAAGGGAAGCCATCTTATAGAGGGAACTATGTTAGCACTATAACAAGACACCCCCCCTGCCCTTTTTCCTTGTTAGTAATGCTTTAGTTTTCACGTAGCCTAGATAAGTACACACCTGCTTGTGAAAAATATGCATAGTCTGCTGTTTTCATAGCCTTGGCTTATACGTAGACCTCCCTATTTCAATAAGGCAATAACTTTGTCCTCTAAGATTTCCCAGGGACATAACGACCTCCGTGAAAAAGCCTTCTGCTGGTATTCGTCACTGGTGACAAGAGGAAGGGATGATCTAGAGTATCAAGGACTACAACATCAGATGGTCAACATTCTGAGACCCCCCCCACCTTTCAGCCCATTTGCCCTATATAACTGCCTCAAAATTTTGTAGTTTTAAGATGGTTCTTTAAGATACCAGTCCGCCAACGCCCCCCTTGCTGGAAAGCTGTAATAAAAACCCTTTCTCTCCTACCACCTTGCCTCTTGACTGTTGGCTTGTCTTGTGGCCATTAGAAGACCCCCTTTGGCAGTTACATTTTCATTCTCTACCTGGAAGTGAGAACTTTTAAGTTGTCTGAATGGCCTTGGACTCCAGAACCTTATAATTAAGACTCCGTAAGTTAGGACGGGTCTGCCAGAAAAACATAAGGCTTGTTCTGACCCTGTGTAATAGGTTTTCTAGGGCATGATAATCTCTGATGAAATTTATCCGACAGGTGATATCACATTAGCCTAGATAAGATCCAAAACAACTTTCTTTTTCTACATTTGGGAATAAAGGGTCAGGTTGCAACCTAAACAGAATAGGTAGCTATGAATCAAAATATGTTAACAGAATTCCTCAACGATGGAGCTTCAAATAGAGGACTTACATATGCTAGTATTTTTCCTTCAGTGCATACACACAAATATCATAAAGGATAGTTTATGATTTTTTAACATTGAATATTAGATAAGTTGCCTTGGGAAGGCCTTTCAGAGAAAACTACTTTTGAGTAAAGGTCTGAATGAAGTGAGGGAACTGGGAGATAAATGTTGAAAGTGAGCATTACAGGCAGAGGGAACCAAAATGTCAAAGGCCCTGAGGTAGATTGTACTTGGCATCTTAACAGAATCACAAGGCAGTCACTGTGGTGGAAGAAACCAGGAGGAAGAGTAGGGGATGATATCAGAGAGGTAATGGGAGGAAAGATCACGTAGGGCCTTCAGTTTATAGGACAGACTTTGACTTTGACCCTGAGTCATACCAGAAGACACTGGATTATCTTGAAAGAGGTGTGTCATAATCTGACATGATATACATCATAAGAAGCAAATTTAAAAGATCATGGTGAAACAAAGAAGCATTCCTAATAAAATCAGCATTAAAGGCAAGGATATTAACTCTCTCTCTGTAATGAAGATTCTGACCCATGCAATAAGAAACAAAGAGTATACAAATAAAAAAGGAAGTAACAAAATTATAATTATTTTCAGATAATACATATGTCTATTTAGAAAACCCAATGGAATCTAATGAAAAACTAATAGAAACAGTAATGGAGTTCAGTAAGGTGGCCAGATACATCATTATGATATTTAAGATATTTATAAGATACAATGCAGATTTATATGAAAGAAGTGCATCTTAGGTTACTAAACTGCAATAATATGTATGATCTAAAAAGCTTTCATAAATATCAGTAATAAATGACCTGAAAATATAATGGAGGAAAAGATTCCAATCACAATAAACCTGGAAACATAAAACACCTAGGAATAAAATTAACAAGAAACATACATACAAGACCTTCTTCATTAGATCAAAACTTTGCCAAATGACATTTTTTTAAAACTTAAATAAATGGAAAACATACCATGTTCCTGGACGGAAGACTCAATATTCTAAAGATGTTAATTCTCACTAAAGTAACGTGTAAATTCATTGAAATTCCAACTCAATTTCCATAGGATTTTTAAAAATTTGACAAAGTGATTCTAAAACACAATTGGAAGAATAAATGAGATCATGACAAAAGCTAAGAAAAATTAGAAATAAATGAATAATGAAATATAGAAAGTCCAGAAACAAACCCATATATTTATATAAATTCAGTTTATGATAAAATTGGAATTTCAAATCATTGGGGTAATTGGTCAAGAGATGCCATTGGAAAGTTTTGTTTTTTTCTTAAAAACCACAAAGATAGATATCCATCTGATACCACTGAAAAAAGTAAGTTCTAGATAAAGATTTAAATGTTAAAATCATAATGTCACTAAAAGTCAACATAAGTTATTATTTTTGTAATCTTGGAATGGGAAAGGTCTTTCTAAGCATAATATAAAATCCAGAAATCTTGAAAGACTGACAACTTTGAAAAGAAAAATACCTAAAATTTTGGTCTGGCAAAAGACCAGGAACTAAGTTGAAAGAAAAGTGGGAAAGTAGAAAAATATTTACAGCATATATTGACAAAGAGTTACAATCCTCAATACAAGCATCACAATAGGAAAAAAATGTGCAAAAGGTAAAGACAGGCTAGAAATACTTGTAGATCTGATTACTTGAATTCTAAAATTTCTCTGATAAGAAATGTTTTGCATAAATGCACACAAATGTATGTATTGGATATTTGGGACAATTTTGTCTGTATTAGTAAAGACTGTACATATACCAAGTGTCCATTACTTAAAGATTGGTTAAATTAATCATAGTATGTCTATACTAAATAAGTATATAGCCATTAAAACAATGAGGTAGATCTATACAAACTGAAATGTCCACTAAAAATTGTTCATATAAAATAAGCTAAAAACAGTATGTATAGTACTGTTATACATAAATTACAGTAGGATCTTATTAAAATATACATATATACATAGCTATATACATAGATACATGAACATACATTTATGCATAGAGAAATGTCTGGAATAATATAATTCTAATTTTTGTAATAATAACAGTGAACACTTACACTGCAGTTACTATGTGCCAGGCACTGTTCTAAATGATAAATGAGGACATTACGCTAAGTGAAATAAGCCAGTCACGAAAGACAAATACTGCATGATTAGTCAAACTCATAGAAGCAGGAAAATAGAATGGTCTTTGCCAGGGGCTGGGGGAGGGGAAAACAGAGAGTTGTTGCTCAATGGGTATAAAGTTTCAGTTATGCAAGGTGAATAAGTTCTAGAAATCTGCTGTAAAATATAGTGCCTATAGTTAACAACATGGTATTATGTACTTTGAAATATGTTAAGAGGATAGATCTCATGTTAAGTGTTCTTACCACACACACACAAATTTACAAATATACATACCCTTTGGCCCAGCAATTCCACTTGTAGGGATTTATCTTTTAGATATACTCAAACGTGCAAAATGATATATGTACAAAGTTATTCATCACAGCATTATTTGTAATACAAAATGTTGGAAATAGTCCAAATATCCCTCTATATGGGACTGGTTAAATAAATTATTGTCCATTCATACAATGTAATACTGGGCAACAACAAAAATGAAAAGTTTTCATGTACTGATTTAGGGTGATCGCTAAAATAGCAAGGTGCTACCATCTGTATTAAAAAAAGACAAAATTTTATATATATGCCTATTTGCTTGTATATACACAGAATATCTCTGGGAAGATAGCTAAGAAAATGGTAACACTGATTGTCTCCTGGGAAGTGAACTAAATTGCTGGAGTGCACAGTTGATGTATTTCTTTCTACACTTTTTAAACCATGTGATTCTTTTACTTATTCAGAACATTAATTAGATTAACATTTGGAAAAAAATACATATGAAGAATGGCTGACCTTTGGGCTCGGTAGATATACTTAGAGTTTCCCGTGAGCCGGTATAGCAGCAGGAAGACATAGGCACTGCCAGCTACACCGTGGCAAATCCCCGGCCCCTTCTTTAGCAGGCCCTTCTGCCATGTGAGTTCCCCACACCGGATACATGTGTCCAGGTACTGTGGTTTCTTGGAAACCAGATAAGCTTTGGCAAACAGATAGGCAATTCCTGTGAAAATATCAAAGACATTAGAGGTGACTTTCAGGGCTTAATGCTATAGAGCAGAACTTCTCAAACTCTAAAAGCCTCACAAGTCATCAATGTATTGGTAAAATATCCACTCTAATTTTGTAGGTCTCAGGTGAGGCCTGAGATACTGCATTTCTAACAACTGCCTTTCTGAGGACCGCATTTTGAGGAGCAAGGCTATAGAATCTTCTACAAGAGAATCTTATTTTACCTGTGAGATTTAGTTTAAGTTGTTGGAGAAAGAGCAACTAGTACATAGGTTGAGAAGATCCATAACTTACAAATGGGTTAATATTTAATGATGAATATTCCGGTAAGCATTATGCATACCTGGCTATTTGGAATGGCTAAATGTTTATACAGTTTGCCCATTCCTGCACAGAGGTTCAGAATTTGTAACGTTAAAGTACTTATAATTATATACCTCTTCTTAAGAGCAAAACTGGGAGTCCTTCCATAAACAACAATGATCCCAAACAACCTGGCCAAGATTTCTATTCCAGCTGTGAAGTGAGTCCTTCCCAATTTGATTGTTTCATGGAAAGACATTTCCCTTCAAAACTGCTCAACAAAGGCAATCTCAATTACACAGGCAGGAACAGAAACAAGAGACGTGACAGCTATTAATAGAAACAATTTCCCCCAAGTTCCAGGTGCTCATATTCAGAGAGGAGATTAGTAACACAAGATGGCTCGCTCTCCTGCATGGCCTACCTTTCTCCTATATAAAGTGGGAAAGATTGGAGTTTAGTAGGTATCTTGACTAGCTCATCCAACAGGATTATTTCTGCCTTTCATTGTCTCTCACTGGGCTATTTTACAACTCTGTAGAGGTAGAAATTATCTTGTAGAAAACTGGTAGTAATGTAAATAATTCCTATCCCGAGAAACTCACATTCTGTCTGGGAGAGGTTGGATTGACTTCCCCCAGCCTTTGTGGAAGCAGCCAGTTTTGCATTAAGCAACTTCATGTCAGCATTCCTAATGGCCTATAAAATACGTCTGCTTTTCAGATTCTCCTTTGAACCAGTTGTAACACCTTTCTAGTTCCCTCATTAGTTAATGAGTTAAATAAAATTGTTGCCATGTGTTTATTTTATATTTGTATGGGAGTTATGATTTTATCCTCTTTTGAAATGTAACACTTAACACTCCCTATGATTAATACTTACATAACAACAAGCTCTCCTCAGCCAATGCTTTCCAGTCAATCAGTGACAATGGTTACCTACAGCACTGTCCTCCTCCAGTTTTAGGAGAAAAGTCTCTCCCACAAACTAAAGGATGATTTTGAAAGACTTGAACTTATTTAATTATATATTTATTCACTGTATCCATTCATTTGAAAGCGTTCATTGATTATCTACTATATGCATAGATCTAGGCAGGGCTAACTTCACGGGCATGCGACCTGTACAGTCCCAAAAGAGCCCTCAGAATGGCCCCATACTGGGTTTAATGCTTTGCTGTTGCCCCCTTGAAATTCGTAATCATTTTTTAAAAAGAAGTCTGCATTTTCATTTTGTACTCGGCCCCCCAAATTATGTAGCCAGTCTTGGCTCTGGGTGATATAAAATAAAAGCTAAACATGACTCCAGCCCTTCAGGAAGGCACTGTCTAGAAAGAGAGAGAAAAAATATGTACATGTAACTGATACATAATAGGACATGCAGTTCATGACACTGTTTGGGCATAAAATGAACGGTATTGCCAATACTACTAGAGGGATCAGAAAGGTGGGAGTTTCCTGAGGGAGACCATCAGGTGAGGCCTTGGATGGAAGCAGGGCTTTCTTCAGGGCTTTGTAGGATGTGTAGGAAACTCCAGGCTGAGGATGAAGTAGAGGAAGCATTCTAGGCACCAAGATCAGCAAGGGCAAGGATTCAGAGCCAGGACAAACATGCCACATGAAGACCAGTAGGGCAGTGTTCTAACCAACAGGACAATGGGTGGAAGGGTAGATTGGGTTCACGTTATGGTTGGTTTTACAAGTCCAGTTAGGCAGCTTGGACTGTATTTTTTAGGCAATAGGGAACCAATGGGAGTGTTCTTTTCATGGATTGGTTAGTTTTTATTTTTAATTATGTGATTGGTATTACAGACAAAATGTCTCATGGTGATGTCAAGAGAGACCTAAAGAAGGGCAATGGGGTAGCTATGAGCTGATCATGTCAGAAAGATGGCAAAGAGGCTAACGAAAGAGACAGCTCACAGGACTTGGTGGCTGTTTAGGTATTAATTGAGCACCTCCTATATGCCAGGCACAGTAGTAGGTACTAAGGTTTTTAAAAGCCCCTGCCTTCACGGTGTTTAAAATCTAACTGGAGGCATTAATTAGGCTAAGTGAGGGGACACAGAGGTGTTGTGGAAGCACACAGGAAGACTCCTAACCCACACTTGAAGGTAGGAAAGGCCCACTAGGGAGAGTGACCCATCTAACCTGAGTACTGAAGGATGAGGAGGAATTAGCCAGGCAAACTAGAAGCCCTTGAGGCTCTGGCGGATCCCCTTTACCTTACGGACAGGTGTCCCATCTCCCACTTGCTGTGATTTGGCTGCTAAGAAAGCTCACAGCTGCCCCCTTCTTGGGAGATTTGCCCCCAGCCGATGGGAGGCTATGCTGTGCACCTACCCATCCCCACCAGATTTCAGCCAACGACTGACCAACACAGGGGTACAAAACGTCAGCTCCCCTGCCTCACGACAGCCTGGCTTTGTGGTGTAATCTGTGCCTCTTAGCTTCCCCTTGGAATCTGGGTGAAGTTAGTCTCCAGGGGAGACACAGCTCCTACTCCGTTGTCCTGCCTCTTCTCCTCCATTCCCTACTTGAAGCTTTTCACTTTGGTAAAACCACACCGCCCGCAGTTCCCCTTCCTTCACCATGTGGTTCCATACCTCTGACTGACTTTTCTTGGAACAAACTTCCCATCTTTCTTGGCCTGGCCAACTTACCTCAGGCATCATCTACTCTAGGAAGCCTTCCTGAAGCTGGGGGAGCACCAGAAATCTCTCCTCTGAGGTCCCATTGCTCCCTATACAAACCTTAGCACTTATATAGTATTGTATTAAAATTATCTCTTTACAAGTTTGCTCCCCTAGTATAGTGCAAACTACCCAAGAGTGGGAACTCTATCTTGCTCATTTTTGCTCCCCTCATTTTTGCTCCCCTCCTCTGTGGCGTGGTGTATGCCACATGGCAAAGGCTGCACAAATGTCTGCTGACCTTATAATGTCTCATTTCTCACCCCAGCACAGGCCAACACTGAAGTGGAGATGAGAGATGTGGAAGGAAGAAGGGCAGAGATGGTCCAATTGCTATACCAAGCCATTAGGCTCAGGCAGCTTAATAAGTATTGTTCCTATGGTTCTGGCCAGAGAGAAGGGCCTCTTCCTATAGCCTGGATCATGGAAGGGATCTTGAAAAACTTCTTAACCTACTGTCTCTCAACCTGACCTAATGAAACCTGCAATAAGGCTGCTTAATAGAAAAGAAAGGAATGTTGGCTTTTTTTGCTTTTGATGGGAACCATGTTATTTTGTCATGGGAACACTGATTATTGTGCATTGTTAAGAAACCCAAGTAGGCAACGATATATGTCTTTGCCAAATACAACTGGGGAAAGGAATTAATTATTACTTAAGAAATATGGTTTGAGAGACTAAATCTTCAAAAACATGCGACCTAGCAGAGCCTTGTGATAGTCCGACTTGGCATGTATAGTTTCAACATACTGGAGAATCACCAGGCAGGTCCATTTTTGGGAGCTGTAATGTCACTGAGGCACGCATTGAACACTGTGCTCTACAAAGCTTAGTGACCAACGACCCCTGCACGGCACAAGCCCTTGTTCTCTATGCAAAGTCACCTCCCCAGGAGCCCTTGTGCAACGATTTAAAAAAAACAGCCACACCTGTGTTTCACACAGAGTAAAGGAAATGCACTGTCAGTGTTACCACAGTAATGCTGTAGCATAATGCAATCTAGAGTTTATTTTAGCCACAGCATTTGTTTCAATGATTTTGTAAATGACTTTTGTCCTGTATTTCAGCATCATTAAGGCTATGAAGGGGTCATATGAATCTGCTATACCTCATTGCATTTAGTGAGAAAAACTATATGCCACACTGGGTATTTATAAATGCGGGTGTCTGCAAATCTTTTGGGACATATCTCTTACGCATGACAAGGGTCCACAGTATAAAAGTGTCTGTGGTGATAAAAAAGATTGAGTTTCACTATTCCATCTCAATGTGCTCATTTCACAGATGAAGAAACAAAGGCACAAAAGAAACAAAGTGGTTTTCTCAAGGTCATTAGCTGGTTCATGTTGGAGCTACAATTAGAATCCAGAGTCAAGAACTATTTCCACACTGTATAAATGATAACCAAGGCTGTCACCTGTAGAGGTAGGTTAGAGGAAAGTTAATAGGAAACAATTAAAGGGGGAGATAAGGTATCATTGATGAAATTCCACATCATGGATTATCTCTGGAAGGTTTTTAATCACAGAATGAGTCTGCTGCCCCAAACCATCTGCACTGTTCATAAATCTACTCTGAAAAAATATTTTTCTCAAACAAGTGAAAATTATTTTTCTAGGTCATCTCCTGTCTTAGAATTTTTGAAGAGTTTACTGTTGCCAACTTCATAGAAATCTTGATGGCCTCTGACCTGCACTTATCAGATTTATAATCCCTCTTGATGTTGTTCTTAGCACATCTCTTAAAAGGAAGACCAAAACCCTTGAGGTGGGAGTATGGGTTGTCAGAAGTAATAGGCCTCATTTGGTTCTTTATTCATTTGTGAATTAGTTTATTTTTGGAAGTCCAGTGAACACATGGGTTGAAGATTTTGCTTTGCAAACTTTGCTTTGCAAACTATGTTTAATCTTACCAAGATCCTGAACGCGAACGATACATGAGGATAAATAAAGTCCCCAGGATGATTAATCCTAAGACGTACTGTTATGGTACACGATTTACACAGACAGATGGAACGTGGTGTACAAAAAGGATGAAATAACTGCCCTTCGAGACACCCACATCAATAAACTGACCCAGTCACTCATTTTAGTGGAATATCTTCCCATTCTTTATAGGGCTTTTACTAGCACATTGAGTCCTTTTAAAATATTCTGTTTTTAACTTGGGACATCTCCAAAAAGTAAAGGATCCTGGGGTGCTTGGAGGATATTCAAAAGACCATCAATGAAAATGATTAAAGGGAATGGGAAATGGGAGTGTCGAGCATAACATAAAGAGATATCATTTCCAGAATGGTAAATAACTGTTGTTTTTCTCCAAAGAGTTCAAAGCAAGAAGAAATGGGCTCAAATTATACCTGGCAGGAATTAGCCTGACATAATGCACAATGCCCTGGCGCTGGTACAAGCACACACAGGAACACAGGAGCCTTTGAAGTCCCTTCCCTCGGTAAATGTGGCAGGCAGAGAAAATATGCCCAATGGACTAAGACTTTTATTATTCATCAACTCAAACTACACCAAGAAAAAAATGACAGTACAGTTGGATTAAAGAACATTAATTAGGTAAGAAGGGGAAAAGAAGTAATAAAAATCAGGTAACAGGGGCCAGCCCCATGGCTGAGTGGTTGAAGTCCCACATGCTCCACTTCGGCTGCCTGGTTTCACAGGTTCGGATTCCGGGCGTGGACCTACTCCACTCATCAGCCATGCTGTGGAGGCATCCCACAGGCAAAGTAGAGGAAGACTGGTGCAGATGTTAGCTCAGGGCAAATCTTCCTCAAGTGGGAAAAAACAAAAGAGGATTGGCAACAGATATCAACTCGGAGTTAATCTTCCTCAAACACACACAAAAACAACAAAAAACTGGTGCGTTGTGCATGCTCTACTAAAAAAAAATCAGGTAACAGACTAAAGAGAAATCAAATATATTTTAAAGCTGTGCTCATGGCATTGAGCATAGCCTTGCAAATTAAATCCACTCCTAATCCAAAAATTTTGTGTTATTTTGCTATTTTAAATCTCTCTCCTGGTCAATCAACCAAAATTAATTGATTTATTTGAATTTAACTTCTTTCAAATTGTCCCTTCTCTAAAGGCCTAATTAACAGCGTAATGAGTTTTTTTAATAAAAAGGAAAATATGGGATCTGATAACTTTCTAGGCTCAATTCCAGAGAGTTCACTGCAAACAGCTTCTCACTTCTCTAGACTTTTTAGTACATGATAATGGAAATCCTGAGTTGAAGAATTATAGAACAGTGCATCTCGTACTTTAACGTGCATACAAAACACTCACATGCACATTCTGATTCAGTGGGTCTAGGGTGGGGCCCTGGATTCTGGATTTCTAACAAGCTCTCAGGCTGCCCACGCCACTAGTCCAGGGACCACATTTTGAATTGCCAGGCTCCAGACCTGCACTGCCCCCTGTAGCTATTGAGCACTTGCAATGTGGCTAGTCTGAACTGAGATGGCATGTAAGTATAAAATATACACTAGATTTCAAATACTCAATATGAAAAAAATGTAAAATAGCTCAATTTTTAAATTGGTTGCATGTTGAAATAATATTTTAAGAATATTGGGTTATATAATATATATTGTTAAAATTAATTTTGCCTGTTTTTAACGGGCCTACTAAAAATTTAATTTCATATGTGGCTCATTATATTTTATTGGACAGTGCTAGTTTAATTTACATACAAATAGATATAGAGCATATATTTTTAAAAATAAAGGATCATTTCTGGAAGTCCTTTACAGATCAAGACTTTTTTAGCTTTGAAAAGTCTCATCTTGACCTTTCTATCTCACGTAGTAAAGAGATAAGATGAGAAATACCCTCGCTTCTCAGAAAAGGCACCCCTCTTTGGCTAAGCCCAATGAAAGGCAATGTTTTCAGATAACGGTGTGTGAGACCTGGGGCGCCGTGGCACCAGTGCACTAGCTCGTTCTCTCTCTCGATGGCCTCGCCGAGCTCAGGTGGCCAGTTGCAGTTCTGTTCCTGCTCCATGAGGAAGTCCACACTCTGCCATACCAGCTCCTGATCTGAGGGCTTGAGGTGCTCATGGTAAGAAAGAAGCATCTGGAGAATGGACGACAGGCCATGAGCTGCTCCTATATTGACAAATAAAGCATAATTAGTTCACATAATTGAGAGAAAAGCCAGTTTAATTTAGTGAAAAGACAATCATAGTATAAAAAGAAATGAATGGCAATATTACTTGAAAGCACACATAGTAATATAATAATTGAGTTGCCTAAGAACTAGGTTTCTGAGGAGCATACACTTAGCACCGGTCAGCAAACTATAGCCTGCAGGCCAAATCTGGCTCACTGCCTGTTTTTGTAAATAAAGTTTTATTGAAACACAGCCATGCTCATTCGTTTGTATATTATCTATGGCTGCTTGCGTACTACCATGGCAGAGTTGTATTTGTAACAGAGACCATAAGGCCACAAAGCCTAAAATGTATTATCTATTCCTTTAAAGAAAAAAGTTTAGTGACTGACATCAGTTTTAGAGAAAAGACTTTTTAAAAACTTTGTAATTAACATATCAATAGTTTTTAGGAAAATGCTTTTAAAGTGAAAATAATTTGTTCTAGGTATACTAAACATTCATTCATTCATTCAACACATAAGAATTAAGCACCTACCACGTGTCAGATAATGTTCTAGGTGCTAAAGATAGATCAGTGAACAAAACAGACTAACATCCTTCTGTAAAGTTAAACACTAGTAATTGCTATTAATTTACTTAATGCTTCACATTTAGCACTGGGCATTGTCCAAGCCCCAGGGGATGCACAGATGAATATGACTTGGTCCATACCCTTGAAGACCTCCCCGTCCAGTTCAGTGACAAAACCAGACTTGTAAATAAATAATTAGAACATGAGGTGATAAATGCTCTAGCAGAGATGTGTACCAAGAGCTAAAAGAGAACCGACAAAGGAGAGCTTAATTTGGCCTTGGAGTGGAGGAGGCACTGAAGGTTCCACACAGGTAGTGCCATCTGAGCGAAGTTTTGAGGAATTCCTAGGAGTTCCAGCATAGGCTACTGTACTATCAAAGACGTGATCCTGCTTTAGGAGAAGGAGCTAGCTCAACGAAGGTAAAAGTTTTCACTCATTTCTAATGAATAGAGTGCTGATTGATGGGTGGTGGTGGTGTCAATATATTCTGAGGGCTTGCTCTTTAAACTCAACTCTATAATTTTAAAGCTTTCTTTTTGTACACAGGCCCTCGGAACTCTTGGTTCCCTAGAAACAGCTTTATAGTTGTATCCAGTCAAAAATCCTATTCTTAAAATTTGCTCATGAAACTTGAAGGAAGCTTTCTTTCACTGGACTTATTTTTTTAGATTCTTTTTTAAAATTTTTCCTTTTTCTCCCCAAAGCCCCCCAGTACATAGTTGTGTATTTTTCAGTTGTGAGTCTTTCGAGTTGCAGCATGTGGGATGCCTCCTCAGCATGGCTTGATGAGTGGTGCCATGTCCGTGCCCAGGATTCAAACTGGCGAAACCCTGGGCTGCCAAAGTGGAGCATGCAAACTTAACCACTCAGCCACGGGGCCAGCCCCTCTTTCACTGGATTTTAAATTTATAGAAAGAAGCTTGCTTTCCAGGAACATATTTATGCATTAGATAGAAATACGGTTTGTGCTATATATGTAAATGGCTAGAATGTGAATTTCTCTAAAAAGATAGGAAAATGAAAGAATTAATTCTATTAGAGAACTCTAGCAGACACTGTCAGTACCCTGCCCATCACCTCAGCCACACTCCTCACTCTGGTGCACCTATCCTCCCTGCTTCCCACCTCAAGCACCTATCATTCTGCCTGAGGCTTTCTCTGGCCACAGCGGTGTGCCCAGCCCACAGGGACAGGGCTGAAATCCTAGGGAATTAACACCTCTGGGAGCATCCTTCTATCAATGGAGCAGGGAGTTGGTGGACGAATACCCCAGCTTCCTCACCCTTTGGGTGGGACAATTCTGAGGCATGTTCTCTACAGACTCTAAGAGTCCCCAGTGGAACTGAGGCTCAGTTATTCATGAGTGCTCACTATTACATCCTCTATTAATTTTTTCTCTACCCTGCCTCACTTTGTCACTCCTCTATCAACACTTTCTGGGGTCATCTCCCAAACAAACCATTTATACCCAAATCCTTGTCTCAAGGTCTGATTTTAGGGAAACTTAGACAAGAACTTAGAGAGTCTTTGAGAAAACTCTCAGAGAACTGCTAGTCCATAAACTCATTGCAGAAGTTGTTCATCAGCCATCCATTCATTCATTTGGGTACCCTCATTATGTATAGGCTCTTGCTAAAGGTCCAGGGGTCACAAAGATAAATGAAAGAAAGTCCTTATCCTGAAGGTACACAGAGCCTGCTAAAGCAGTTGGACAGGTAAGCCACTAACTACAGTGCAATGTCATAAGGCCTTCAGTAGAAGGGTGGCAGGGTGACATGATGCTACCCAATTTTGCTTCAGGGTAAAACCTGAAAAGTGAGAATGTTTCTCTAGAGAGGGTTCAATAAACCCTTTTTCCAAAAAGCACGAAGTTTCTCAATAGGTCTAATGATGTTTGAGCAGAGTCTTGAAGTCTGGGTATAAGTATTACAGATAGATGAAGGGGTCATGGGAAACTGGGCGTTTTAGGCAAAAGGAACAGGCACAAAGGTTCCAAAGATATGAGAACACTTTGCTTGTAGGAGACTGTGCTGGACAGAACCAGGGAGGGGAGAGAGAAAGCTTGAGTTTGGAGAAGGAGGCAGGTGATCTACAAAGGGCCTTGCAAGTCATGCTCAGGAGCGATGGGGAGCCACCAAAGGATCCAAAAAGAAAATTAATCCAGAGTAATTAATTTTCACTTTACATGCCTCATATCTCAAAAGCAGCCACTGTGATTCAGTAGTCTGTTATTAATCCACTAATATTAAAATGTTGAAAATGTTAGTGGCTGAATCTCATTTCCCTGTGCAGAGGCACTATTTACAATGAGTGTGTAAACTGTTCACAAACTTTCAGCAGAATTAGGGCAATGAACTCACAATATAGAATACGGATTTTAGTCTTCAGTGAGAGTAATTGTTAAAATAGCTATATTTCTGTCGGTAGACTACAAAAGCAAATATTAAATTCTAATTTACAATATCTATCAATTTTTATTTTTAAATGGAATTTTAAAGTATTTCTAGTTAAATGAACAGTGATGACCTATGTCAGAAACAAAATCTTCCAGTCTTTAGTCAATGCTGACATGAGAGACTCTCTTCATCTCACCGGCCCTTGCCAAGACCATCACTCACCCAAGTATTCAGTTCCATAGTAAGAGTACATCAGGGGAAATGGTTTCCTCTTTTTCATGGCATACTGCTTCCCAGAGTCCAGAATCGCCTGGCAAATTGATTTGATCTGTGCTGGAGTCAGTACCTGAGTAAGGAAATCAAGAAGCAGAAGTCAAATCAGGATCCTCTTTTTCCCTCAGACACTGAATTTTCTTGCTTTAAAAGTCCTATCCGCATATCCCCAAATCCTTTTCTATGTGTAAATAAGATTAGCCAGACATAACTTCTTTTTTCTTAACTGTTGATTCTTTGTTGTCAATTTTATCTACCCTCTTCAGAAAATCGCTAAGTTTTGATGGGAAATACACATCTTTACTGCTATAGGCTTTTATAAAATGCAAAGACCACCTTACAGTTGTTATATCATTGATCTTTGTCACAGGAACAAGAAATTGTTCAGAAAAGAACAAAGGCTAGTCCTAAAGGATCACGCTTAACAAAGCTGTTACTCCTGGACCAGGTGCAGGTCTGGCCCAGACAATGGGCCTTCAATTTGTGTCATTTAGTCTGTGCTTATAAAACCGCCATTCTATGACAAGCTGCTGCATGACAGACTCACTGTAAGCATCTTCATTCCCTGAATGAAACCAAATTCCAATAAGTACCAAGGCAAAATAACTTTTAATATCAAAATGCCTCTGAATACAGAACGACTAAAATGCAATGACTTGCAGTCTTCCATATTTTATTCAACCTATTCACAGCCAGTTTTAGGACTATAGAGATTAAAATGTTCTCAAGCCTACTAGGCATCACTGAGTTTATGAGGATTCTGCTCAGGTTTGTGATGTTTCCTGCCTCCCATTTTTCCTCGGGGCAGGTTAGATGCTCCCTTTGGCACACTCCTGACATCACCATGACTCTTTGGTACAGCACTTACCAACCTGGTGTTATGTCTCTCTCTATATACTAGACGATCAGTTATTTGAGGGCAAAGACTGTGGCATCTCATTATTTTGGTATCTTTGGTTCTTAACCCAAAACCTGAGGGGGCCTTTGGTGACTGATGAATGAGTAAAAAGTGTCAGGTTTACTGGCATGAAAAACAGAGCCCTTCCTCTTCTCTTTCCTTTATCCCTTCTCTCCCTCCCTCCTCCTTCCCTCCTTCCCCCTTTCTCTCCCTTCTACAATTATTTCTTAAGCCTCTACTATATGCCAGTAAAGCCTGTACTAGATGCTGGAGATATGACAGTGAACAAGATAGACTAGACCTCTGCTCTCGTGCAGCCAATGTTTCAAAAGTGCAGACCTGCACAGGACGAGCCCGAGTCAGAATACCAACAAAAGTTCACCTAAAGTTCAGCCTTCACCTAAGTGAATGAGTCAGGGATCAAGGAAAAGTCTATCGGATTTTGGCCTCTCTCCTAATACACAATGAATTTTCCTACCTGATATTTGGCATTAGACTCACCTATTCCTTTTGAAATAAGGTACCAATGCTTTGTTAAATCATAACTTACTTCTCTGATTTACCCAACATTAGAAGAGTAAAATATAATCCAGGTTTTCGCCTCCTCAAATCTAGCATTTAATTTGGAAAAATAATTAAAGAGGAAGCTGCTCATTAATTAATTTGCCAATTAACTTTTATTGAGCTACTATTCCAGTAAGGCCCTGTACTAGGTATTGTGGGGAAATTCTAGAAAGCCTGGGACACATTTTCTCCCTAGAGGGAATTTACTATCCAGTGCTAGAGAGGAGACATACACAAAAGTCTACAATAAAGCCATTAAAGTTCATGGGCCCAGGGGTGGAAAGAAACAGTAATGCCGTGTGTAACACAGACAATGAAGCACTGCTCGGCTCCACTAAGGCGTTACTATCTCCTCATTTTCCATCTGGTTGCTCAGAAACAATTGTCGTGGCTTTCGACTTAAATTTTCCTTTTATTAGCTACCTATCTTTGTCTCTTGGGTTTACTCCTTTCTGCCTAAAATTGCCAAAGACTCTATTTTCCCGTGCATTCCCACTGTCATTTCAAGGCTCAGCCTCCAGTCTTTCCTTAGTTGAATAGCAAATTTGTCCTAAACGATTTCCTACTCTGCATCTATTCAAATCACTATCAAAATTTTCATTTGCTATTAAAAACATCTTCCTCTTTGTGCCTTTATCAGTACCAACTGATCTTACATTTAGTCTTACCCTACTTAATATCTTGCAACTCCTCCATCCTGGCTCTCTTTCAGAAACTGCTTAAGTGCCTTGAAGGGCATGAACTTAATAGGACTCCATCCTGGTCCCATCCCATATTTTTCTGGAAATATACCTTGCTTTTCAACTGAACTTAGGTCCTGTCTGCCAATTCTGGTCTTAAATCCACATGACAGGAGCAGTTTTGTGATAGGAAAAGGTCACTGAATTTTGGGGGTATGTACTCATTTGAATTACTAAAATTCTTCCTATTTGACTTTTGTGCCAATAATTGAAAACTGGCTTATTCTCTCCTCAGTTGAACATTTATTCATATGTTTCCTCTCTTTCTGTGTCTGTGTGTGTGTGTGTGCAAGCACGTGTATTCACCTGTTTATTTGTAACCCAGAAAAAAAATCAACTTAGGTTATATGTGGTGCCCTCTCCCTTTCTTTCCATCCCTAATCTACAGCTCAGAATAGAGAATGAGTTTATAAAATATTTCAAAACCTCCCCAGTCATGCCTCATGTCGGGGCGGTTTCCCCTTATCTCTCAGAAACACTGTGAAAAACAAAGAGAAACCACATTTGTTTGGCTGGATAAAGAGCAGTTACGCATGCAGTTCTTTATCTCTGGGAACAGACAAGACCTACCCATGGGTTTATTGATCAGCAAATAAAAAGTGAAAACAGTGCTCATTAAAAGTGTGTGGAGGGGAACCTTGAGATGGAGGGTCCTCTTTTTTTCTCCCCTGAACAAACAGGACAGAAAGAAAGGAGATGACATGCAAGGGGAGGGGCTTGTTCTTGCCCTCTCATTTGTCTGCTTTCTCAGACATCCCTCCATTCCCAACTCCTAGAACACAGGAACACGCGCATGAGCACACACACTACCTCTGAGAGGATGGCCTCTGTGCTTTTGAAACACTCTGAGGCCCTGAGAATGAGGAAGCGGCATTTCCAGGGGAGGGAAAGAAAGTGACTGGAGATGGCAGAGAGGGGCTCCCTGCCCATTAGGCCTTTATCAACATAAATCCAAAATTCCCTCTCCTGTATTTATAGCACCTAGGGCCTATGCATGTGTTGATATCTTAGACGGATTTGATTCTTTAAATAAATTTCTTTTACATCAAATTAAAATAAATTAAGATATCTTGAAAATACAAAGCAAGTCTGTGGTGGTTTGGTTTAAACAGTTTGACCGATTCTCCTCACTTATCTTCAAACAGAGGTGTTTGTTGTGAAATATTCCTATGGGGCAGGGCTCTGAGTATGAAGTGACAAGAGAGCAATAAAGCCCATGCTATGTTTCTTGGCCCCAGCTGAAGGTCGCGCTGTGATTGAACCACCTCCATGCTGAGGAGAGATGACCTTTGTTAAGGAAATGAATAAAATGGACCAAGCCACAGAAAGATTGCTTCACCACACACCGCTTTCCAGGGCAAATGTCCTGCCCACAGGCCCTCTGGAGTGGCAGTCTTTGCTCGGGGGCGGGTAGAGATTTATTTCAGGTGTTGAGAAGACAAAATCTCAGGAGAGCTGCTTTGAAAATAAGCTTAAAGAGACAAGGTAGGGGGGCCGGCCCGGTGGCGCAGCGGTTAAGTTCGCACGTTCCGCTTCTCGGCGGCCCGGGGTTCGCTGGTTCGGATCCCGGGTGCGGACATGGCACTGCTTGGCAGCCATGCTGTGGTAGGTGTCCCACGTATAAACTAGAGGAAGATGGGCACGGATGTTAGCTCAGAGCCAGGCTTCCTCAGCAAAAAGAGGAGGACTGGCAGTAGTTAGCTGAGGGCTAATCTTCCTCCAAAAAAAAAAAAAAAAAAGAGAGACAAGGTAGGGCTAAGGGAGCGCTTTCAAGTAGGATATAGATCTTGATGAATCGAATAATTCAAATTATGTGCAAAGCCTTTTGCACTTTGAGGAAAGATATAATCTTAATAATTAGACTAAGTTAACATCTGAACCACTTAAATAATGAAACATTCAGCAGTTCTTTAAACTCTAAAAGTCGTGACCTAATAGGGATAAAGTGGAAGGAGTAAATATCATGAGTTTCACAGAGGTAGAGGGATATGAGCTAAGCTTTAAAGGACAAGTAGGAAGTGGATAAATGAAAGTGGGGGGAAGAGGCCATTTTAAGCTGTAGGATGATGGGGGAAACCCCGTGTATTAGGGCAATGCTTCTCAAACTGGAATGTGCACACAAATCACCTGGTGTTCTTGTTAAAATGCAGATTCTTGGGGCTGGCCCCAGGGCATAGTGGTTAAGTTTGGCACACTCCACTTTGCAGCTGGGGGTTTGCAGGTTTGGATCCCAGGCACAGACCTGTACCACTCCTCAGTCATGCTGTGGTGGTGACCCACATATAAAGTGGAGGAAGACTGGTACAGAAGTTAGCTCAGGGCTAATCTTCCTCAAGAAAAAAAAAAAAAAGAAAATGGGCAACAGATGTTAGCTCAGGGCTAATGTTCCACAGCAAAAAAAAAAAAAAAAAAAAGAATTAAAAAATGCAGATTTTGATTCAGTAGGTCTGGGATGGGGCAGGATTCTACATTTCTAACAAGCTCCCAGGTGATGCTGCTGCTGCTGGATCCACAAACACACCTGAAGTAGCAAGGGATTATGGGAACAGAGAGGCTGGTTGCAGGCGAGGATTTCTCTTGGGAAGGGTGAGAAATTAGACTGAAGGAACTATAGGAAGTTCCCGAAGACATTCAAGGAAGCAAGAGGGAGCACCAGGCAAAAACACTGCATACCATAATTTAAATGATCAGCTTACCTAGAAAAGCAAAGCAGCAACAATGGGAAATTCTCTTCCAATACACTGTGTGTAGGAAAAACGCATCCAAATTTGCAAACCCTAGTGGGGAGCTCTTAGCCAATGTGGCCAGGTTTGTTATTTTCTTAATGAGTCTCCAAATGGGGCACGTGTGCTGGTGCAGAATGAGCAAGTC